TCATCCTTTTTTGGTGAAATCCACTCTACCCATTTGCACAAAATCAGGAATTTTTGGGAGCTCAAGGCCCCCTTTCCCGCGGCTGTTTCAGACTCCTATTTTCAGCCATCTTTCTTCCTTCTTTTCTCCCCTCTTCCAAGGCTAGGTCTGATGAGGGAAAGAAATAGGTATGCATGCTGGTTCAAAGGGTGATTTGCGCTCCAATATCCCTTGGTCATTTGGAAGTTTTTGCTTGAAACGTGCCTCTCCCATGTGCTGGAGCTTCTCATTAGCTTTTCAGACTTTCCTTCGTGGCTTCTGTTTTCCAGCAAAGTGCAGATGGTTTTGCAGGTCTATATTTTACTTATGTGGGCCTTCTAGAACAATGGATTGACATATCAAATAAATGAGCCAACTTCACCAAGGTTTGGCTTGAGGTGTTGGGCTTTTTAGTTGAGTCAATAGGCTTTTTTTTGTGGTAATGAAATATGAGTAGATTTTTTTTTTTTTAATTTGTCATAATTTTTAATATTTTAAATAATTAATGATTTTCTATAAAAACAAATTTTATTAATTTAAAATAAAATTAATAACCAGACTTTTAATGATTTCCTCATTTTCTTAACCAGAATTTTAATGGTTATCTAAATATCTTGCTCAATTTTCTTCAAAAAAAATATCTTTGGTTAATTTGGTAATTTGGTAATCTGGGATATGAGATTTGGACTTAGGCCCAATAAACAACGGGTGTTCCACTAGCCCACATAAGATGCTCGCCAACGGATCTATTTGGCGGGAAGCAACGGGTGGTCATGCGAGAGTGCCAGCTCACCTTTCCCGCTAGAGACCCTGCTAAATACCATAAAACCCCAAATGGCCATTGCATATTCTTCTTCTTCTCCTCTGTGAGACTGTTAACCCTCAAAATCTCACCTTACGGTCGATTCCAAATCTCGCATTTCTATTTGATCTCTGCAATGAGTTCCTTAGGAACCTTCAAATCCCAGACTCCCAGAAGCCGAGAAAAGAAAGCCCTAAACCCAAAGCCCCAAATCTTAGGCAATGAGACACTTGTTTGTCCCACATTGAAATGTTAAGGGACCTAGCCTGGATTTATAAGGAGTTGAGCTACTCCCCTCATTGCCAATTGGTTTTGGGGTGAAACCTCAACTTCCTTCATGGTATCAGAGCAAGGCTTCACGTGCTCTCACGTCACCCAATATGTGTTGTCCACGTGTTAGGCTTGAAAGTTCGCCACACGTGCGGAGGTGTGTTGAGAGTGTTTGTCTCACATTGAGCAAGGCTTCACGTGCTCTCACGTCACCCAATATGTGTTGTCCACGTGTTAGGCTTGAAAGTTCGCCACACGTGCGGGGGTGTGTTGAGAGTGTTTGTCTCACATTGAAATGTTAAGGGCCCTAGCCTAGATTTATAAGGAGTTGAGCTACTCCCCTCATTGCCAATTGGTTTTGGGGTGGAACCTCAACTTCCTTCAACACTGAGCAGCAAAACCCCTTAGAAATCCGAAAAATCTCCATCGGCGACATCAGAAGAGCCGCCGCCAAAAGCCTCAGCGAGTCGAGCCAGAAGCGACGGACGGACGAGATTGATTCTTGGCCTGACGACAGCCCAAACAAGAAATGTGTCGGCCGCTCCGAGAAGCTACTGGAAAAGTAAGCTTTTGTGAATCTCAGTTGTCTGTTATATTTATGTGATCTGCTCCTGCATTTCTAGGTTGATTTTGATTTCTTCGATCTCTGGGTTGGCTTATTTCTTTTTCGTTTCTTGTTTGCAGATATGAAATATTGAGTGAGTTTTTGAATGGCTTGGACACTTCGATTCGGTTGTTGCGGTTGAGGGGTTTGAAGCCCAGTTTTAGCAATATTTGCCCCCAAATCGAGTGTTTGACGGATGGGTATACTTCAAAAAATAAATAAAATTTTCTTTTCAATTGATTGTTTGGCTGCTGAAGAAATGAAATTAGGCTATTATAGAAATTGATCGTCTCTTTATCTCGGTTTTTAGGAGGTTTACATGTGGTCACTTGGCTCAGCTGAAGTTTGTTTTACCTGAGGTGATTGAGATAAAGAAAGTTCTTGTTAAGGATGAGAGAACCAGTTGTCTGAAGCCTGATCTTCATGTCACCATCAATGTTGATGCACTAAAGAGTGATGGCAAGGCGAAATCTGAAGGTGGTGGGAGTATGCATTTGAGGAAGACGTTCCGCAAACGGCTTGCAGATATTTCAAAATCCCATCCTGAGGTATACCCAATACTCAGTTTCTGATACAACATTACTAAAATGGTTTAATTTCTAAAGTATTCTTTGTTATTAAATTGATCTGGAATATGGAAAGTTATTGGTGTTCTGGCATGACTTTGAGCGTGCAGGGACTTTAAAGGACGCAAGGATTTAGAATATAAATACTGTATTAATTTATGTAACAAAAATAACTCTATGCACAGGGTTTCATTTGTTTGGTTTTTTTCAAAAAGGTTATTCTTGCAGTTGGGTTCCTGTACTTGTGACTTCAACGTTTTATTTTTATCAATTTAACAATTTATTTTTTGAACTATTGATAGCATGTGGTCTAACAATGCTTAACATGCTTTCAGGATTATGAAATTCCAGAAGAAACTTTGCCTCAGCCATTCGATATTAGGAAGCAAGATATGCAATCAGATACAGGCAAGCTTCCCTTCTCATCATCTCCGGTGACATATTGACTGATGTACACAGTACAGTTGAGCAGCCAGCAGTGTCAACAAGCTGCCTTCAGGGCGATGAAGTTCCAGAATCAAACCTCAATGCAGTTTGCTCTGTTGGGGAAAGGAGTACTTGTGCTTCATTGTATGGCCAAGTGCCTGTGACTCCAACCAAAGGCATAGACCCCATAGAAAATGATGGTAGTTTGCCCACACAAAGTGATAGCATTCAGTCGACTCCAGCAAAGCTTGCTTCAACTCCAGCTAGGTTGATGGCTGACACGCCTGCATTGCACCGACCAAAGCGATGCTATATGAGCCCAGATGATAATTCTACTAGCTCACCGAACAAGTTGGTTAGGCTTCCTCCACGCTCCAGGTCTTTGAAATTTGACACTCCTGTGAAGAATAAAAATGTTGAGGATGAAGTTCCTGATATGGGTTGTACATCAATCGATAATGACAGCCTCGATATTCTTCCGGAGGATCTTTTGCAATCGGTACATCTATAATAACATTTATATTATAAATAACTTATAAATAAATTGGAAAGTTTTAAGGTATAATGAAATTTAAGAAAACAAAATAATAGGTAAGTAAAAGAAAAATAAATAATAAGTAAGAAAGTGAGTTTGGTACGGTGAAACACGTCAAAGACGTTGTCCTAAAGCCTTTGTAGCCTCCATACGTGCAAGTATTGACGGTCTACAAGCCTCCAAGATACGAACCCTTGTACACAAACTCAAGATCCACTATGAGCACGTTCATAGATGGATATAGGTATCCAAGTCACAGAATCATTGCCAAAATAATAATATAAAGTAGATAATATATATAAAATTAGAAAATAAGAGAATTAGTTTGTGGTGGTGATTGTGGTACGTAGGTGATATTCTGATGATGTATTGTGGGTGTTTCAAATGTGAAGGAGGAGTGGCCTTTTATAGGCATCCAAGAACATGTAACCTTCACCAACAAGAAAATTAAGACATTCATTATAAAAATAAAACATGAATATTACATATTTATAACCCTCACAATAAATAAAATAAAATAGCCAAAATAATTAAATAAATAAAACGGTTAAATTTTTAAAACCATTTTAAAATTCCAACACGAGATGCATGCTATAATAGCTTCCTTGGAAATGTTGGAATTCACTTTTCATCTCTAATTGTTGTATGACGGTTTTGCATATGCAGTTGGACAATAAATTTTGAAGAATAAACACTTGATAAAATTGTGTGATGTTTAAAATGTCGATCGCGAGTCAATACGTGCAGCTAGAGAATGCTAGAATTTTTGAAGTTCACTTGTACGAGAAGCATATTTAGAAGATGGTGTACAATTTTCCCATTTCATTAGGCATCCATCCATTTCCTTCCTTTTGCTATGAATCTTCTCCCATTAAACCTGTTGTACCAGCTTTCAATTTCTCACTAAAAACAATATCTTAATGCTGAGGAATCTATTTATACTGCTCCTCTCTAGTAAAAAAAAGCCTGCTCTAACTGTGTATGTGTAAAATATTTTACAAGAAAAAGAATTTATATTTTTATAAAGTCAATAGGGTTTTTCTAATTTTCTCCAGCGTGAAGATATCAAATCAAGGAAATTAATTGAAGACAATATTCTTCAACTTCAAGTATGGAAATGAGACTTGTAATATAGATAGACTAGCAATTATAACAAAAATATTGGTATATGTGGGTACCATTTGGCATGCTAACCATCAACAAGCTGATGGTATATGTGGGAATTGGGACTGCACTAAAAAAATTAGTGGAATATCCGAAGGGAAGGAAAATGGAAACATTTTTTATTTTAGATTTGATTTTAATAGAAACTCTATAATGTGGGGTGGTATTTTGTGTGTGTAACCACACAACTTTTGATTATGAAACGAACCATGGTCAACAGACTCAGCACCATGGAAGGAGTTGAGAAGCCTCCTCCGTTTCTTCTTGTTGCCCTTCATATTTTCATGGAAATGTTGTAGCTTACATATAATCATAGGGGCTAGACTTTTGAAACGTAACATAGGGGCTAGACTTTATATTCCGTCCGGACAAATGGTTGGGGCCAAGGGAAGGGAAGACTAGACCATAGGGCCTAGACTTTATATTATGTCCAGACAAATGGCATTAATTATGAAATGTCATCATCAGTCAACAACTATTAGTTCAAAAAACTAAATTTTCTTCTTAACTTAAATTAAAATAAAGCTTTCGACCAAAAATAAATTAATAAAAATAATGCAAATTACAAGTGAATTTTAAGAACGAAAACGATAACAATAAGAATCAACCTTCTATAAAGCTTGGAACATAACATTAACTCCTCAAACCACCATGGAAGGAGGACTTTTCTCTGCTCACAAGCCTACTTTTCTTCTTCTTCTCCTTCATATTTTCCTGCTTGCTCTGCTTCCATTCAAGGCCATTTCATCACCAAAAACACAGGCAGAAGCTTTGCTAACTTGGAAGAACACCTTTGCTTCTGCACCACCTTCTCTCCCTTCATGGTCCCTCACTAACCTCAACAATCTTTGCAACTGGTATGCCATTGTTTGTGACCAGAACAGCGAACAAGTTTCCCAAATTGACCTCTCCAACTTCAACATCGCTGCAACGCTAACCCATTTCAACTTCACCCCATTTCTCAATCTCACCCAATTCAACCTATCTGGCAACTATTTCACAGGGCATGTGCCATCTGCCATTGGCAAACTCTCCAAGCTCACAACTTTGGACTTGGGCAACAACTTTTTCGATCAAGAAATACCTGTGGAGATAGGCAAGTTAACAGAGCTCAAGTATCTGAGTTTCTTCAACAACACTCTCACTGGTGTAATTCCCTCTGAGCTGAGCAATCTCCAAAAGGTGCAGTTTTTGATTCTTGGAGCCAACTACAACTTACAAACTCCTGACTGGTCTAAATTTTCAGGCATGCCTTCTTTGACATACCTTGATTTGTCAAGCCGTCTTGATTCAGAATTCCCAGAATTTGTATCTAAATGTTTGAACTTGACATTCCTGGACTTGTCTGAAAATTTCTTTACTGGCCAAATACCACAACAAGTATTTACCAATCTGAGCAAGCTTGAATATCTCAATCTCACCAACAACCAATTCCAAGGACCACTGCCATCAAACTTTCCCAAGCTTAAACACCTTCATTTAGCACAAAACAACTTCAGTGGTGCCATTCCTGAAGCTATTGGTTTGATATCTGGTCTTCAGCGTATTGACTTGGCTTGGAATTCCCTTGAAGGGCCAATTCCATCCTCCATAGGCCAACTCAGGGAGCTTAAATACCTTGATCTTAGAGAGAATTCCTTAAACTCTTTAATCCCTTCTGAGCTTGGTCTTTGTACCAGCCTCACCTACTTGGACCTGACTTCCAATCACCTTGAAGGGAAAATTCCGCCTTCTATAGGCCAACTCAGAGAGCTCCAGCACCTTGATCTTAGAGAGAATTCCTTAAACTCTTCAATCCCGTCAGATATAGGAAGATTATCACATTTGATAAGCTTGGATCTTTCGGGAAACCACCTCTCTGGGTCAATTCCTCCAACACTAAGCAACCTTTCAAATATTCAGATCTTAAATCTTTCCAACAACAATCTCAATGGCCCATTCCCGCCAGAGATTTGTGCCCTCTACATGATAGATTTGTCTAATAACAATTTGACACAGGAAATCCAAAAAGCCCCCGACGATACTTTTGTTGGAAACTCTGGCTGGTGTGGAGATGCTAGGGGCCTAACTAGAGCGCGCAATTCCAAAAAAAATAACAACGAAGTTATAATTGTTGTCCTTGTACCTGTTTGGGGTTTATCAGTGGTTGCAACTACAATTGCTCTGATTCTTATGTTCCATAAGAAAACCAAGCGTGTTCTTAAGAAAATCAATAGTGCTCAAAACTTTGAGAATTTTGAGTCAATGATATTGCAAGAAGAAGTAAAATTTACGTTTGGGGAAGTTGTAAAGGCCGTAGACGATTTTCATGAAAAGTACTGTATTGGAAAAGGAGGATTTGGAAGAGTATACAAGGCAGAGTTGCTATCAGGTCAAGCTGTTGCAGTTAAGAGGCTTAACACGTCAGACTCTAACGACATTCCAGCAATCAATCTCCAAAGTTTTGAGAATGAAATCCGAACTCTGACAAATGTCCGGCATAGGAACATCATTAGACTATATGGGTTCTGTTCAAGGAGGGGATGCATCTTCTTGCTCTATGAATATTTAGAGAGAGGCAGCCTAGGAAAAGCATTGTATGGGGTTGAAGGGGTAACTCAACTTGGCTGGGCTACAAGGGTTAAAATTGTGCACGGACTATCTCATGCACTTTCTTACTTGCACCATGACTGCTCTCCACCAATTGTGCACCGTGATGTAACTGTCAACAATGTATTGCTCGAGTCAGATTTCGAAGCTCGACTTTCTGATTTTGGAACAGCAAGACTGATTAGTGCCAATTCGTCCAACTGGACCCATATCGTTGGCTCATTTGGCTACATGGCACCAGGTAACATACCAATTTAACGTTGTGCATTTTTGGATCATGTTTTGGTGGCTGAGATATGTTTTGAGGATTTGGTTTGTTTTTCTCTTCATGTGCAGAGCTTGCATTGACAATGCGAATCACGGATAAGTGTGATGTGTATAGCTTTGGAGTGGTGGCGCTGGAAGTTATGATGGGAAGGCACCCAGGGGATTTGCTAGAATCCCAGCTTTCAGAATCATCACAATCAATGAAGGAGGACAATGCAAAGTTGCTTTTGAAGGATTTGTTAGACCAAAGGCTGGAGGCTCCAAGCAATGAATTGGCAAAGGCAGTGGTGCTTGTGATGAGTTTAGCCTTGGCTTGTATACGTACGCGTCCCGGGTCTCGACCTACAATGCTCTTTGTAGCACAAAAACTATCAGCTCATATTCTGCCTTCCCTTCCTGAACCATTTGGCATGCTAACCATCAACAAGCTGATGGGGATATAAAACTAGAAGGAAAAAAAATAAAACTAGTTACATAATTTATGTTATCTATTTTAGAAGAAAATCACATTTTTGTTACATAATTTATTTGCAATGTAAAATTGAACAGAAATTAGTATAATTTTTAAAGTCAGCTTTGATCAAATATTAATATAGCATGTGCGTTCACAATATTCTGAAAGCCCTACCACATACTGCCACGTATACTGGAAGCATAAACATCACGTATACTACATTTTAAAGGCCATAGACGATTTTCATGAGAAGTACTGTATTGGAAAAGGAGGATTTGGAAGAGTATACAAGGCAGAGTTGCTATCAGGTCAAGCTGTTGCAGTTAAGAGGCTTAACACGTCAGACTCTAACGACATTCCAGCAATCAATCTCCAAAGTTTTGAGAATGAAATCCGAACTCTGACAAATATCCGGCATAGGAACATCATTCGGCTATATGGGTTCTGTTCAAGGAGGGGATGCATCTTCTTGCTTTATGAATATTTAGAAAGAGGCAGCCTGGGAAAGGCATTGTATGGGGTTGATGGGGTAATTGAACTTGGATGGGCTACAAGGGTCAAAGTTGTGAAAGGATTAGGTCATGCACTTTCTTACTTGCACCACGACTGCTCTCCACCAATTGTGCACCGTGATGTAACTGTCAACAATGTGTTGCTCGAGTCAGATTTCGAAGCCCGACTTTCTGATTTTGGAACAGCAAGACTGATTAGTGCCAATTCGTCCAACTGGACCCATATCGTTGGCTCATTTGGCTACATGGCACCAGGTAACATACCAATTTAACGTTGTGCATTTTTGGATCATGTTTTGGTGGCTGAGATATGTTTTGAGGCAACTTGGTTTGTTTTTCTCTTCATGTGCAGAGCTTGCATTGACAATGCGAGTCACGGATAAGTGTGATGTGTATAGCTTTGGAGTGGTGGCGCTGGAAGTTATGATGGGAAGGCACCCAGGGGATCTGCTAGAATCCCAGCTTTCTGAATCATCACAATCAATGAAGGAGGACAATGCAGAGTTGCTTTTGAAGGATTTGTTAGACCAAAGGCTGGAGGCTCCAAGAAATGAATTGGCAAAGGCAGTGGTGCTTGTGATGAGTTTAGCCTTGACTTGTATACGTACGCGTCCCGGGTCTCGGCCTACAATGCTTTATGTAGCACAAAAACTATCAGTTCAAAGTCTGCCTTCCCTTCCTTTACCATTTGGCATGCTAACCATCAACAAGCTGATGGGGATATAAAACTAGAAGGAAAAAAAATAAAACTAGTTACATAATTTATGTTATCTATTTTAGAAGAAAATCACATTTTTGTTACATAATTTATTTGCAATGTAAAATTGAACAGAAATTAGTATAATTTTTAAAGTCAGCTTTGATCAAATATTAATATAGCATGTGCGTTCACAATATTCTGAAAGCCCTACCACATACTGCCACGTATACTGGAAGCATAAACATCACGTATACTACATTTTTTTATGGGCAATGATTTCCCCACTCCTATTTTATCCACTTACACTCCTTTTTTAGTTATAAAAAAGGAGTGTAAGTGGATAAAATAGGAGAAAAAGGAGTGGGGAAATCACCACTCTTTTTTATTAGCATGTGGGAATTGTATACTGGAAGCATAAACATCACGTATACTACGTTTTTTTATTAGCATGTGGGAATTGGGACTGCACTAAAAAAATTGAGTTCTGCTAAACGAACCCTAAAATTAACTGAGTACACCCTATTACAAAAGTATATATTGAATTACTGATTTACCCTAATATAAAATGACCAAAAAAGATATATGGCATTGTGAAACAAATATAATTTTAATATAAGTACACCCTACTAACCATCTTGAACCCTAATCAAGAGATTATTTGGTGCCCATCTTTGTGATCCGCGAGTCAGAATGGCTTGGAGCAGATGAAACCTTCCTTCTTTCTTCTCAGAACTATTTCTTGGCAACTTGGATTAGACAACTTAGAAAGCAGGTTCGGTGACATTCTATAATTTTAGTTTGAGATTGGAAGTCACAGATCTGTAATGGATGTATAATGCTCTGTAGCTATCTTGTGCTCTAAACTATATTGTTTTGCTCTTTTCTTATTACAGGTTTATTGGAACTATTCAAGTGGGTGCTCTTTTGCATGCTTGTTATTCTTTTTCGTGTTAGACACATAAGACTGCTATTAGTTTTTCTTCAGGTTGGCATCTTGAAGCATATTTGATTGCTTTTCGGTGCTTATGGGGCAGATCAATTGTGTTTTATAACTAGTGCTGCCCCATGAGCATTATTCAGAATGCTTAGACTGATATATCAAAATTTCAAGTGGTTTTAGGACTTATCTTACAGTTTATGGCCAATGCCTTCCAAAAGTGATTGCAGTTATTTCATCTTTCATTGTTTTCCTTCTGATTTTATAATACCATAGAAAAACGTATTCAGAGAAAGAAATTACATTCATGAACCTGATTGGTAAATCCTAGGGCACCGGTGTGGTACCGGCCGAAGGCTCTCCGATGCTTTAGTAAGTACGGATTTAGTAAGTTTGAACTACAGATCGATAGGCAGAATGCCATAAGTTCTGATTGATTCCCTCCAAGCTGGGATGATTGTCCTCCTTTATAGGCCTTGGGAGGCGTGCGACTTGTTTAGAATTTCGATGTGGGACTCTGGACATCAATTGTGGGACTGCCACGCGTCCAGAGGGGTGAGGTTGCCCTAATGTTGCGATCGGTAGGTCTTCTACCGAAGGTATGTGCCGAAGGCACCACATGGCCATGGTTTAGCCACTTGTCCGTCGTTCATTGGCTGTTCATTTTGGTATAAACACTATTATTTTTTCTTCAGGTTGGCATCTTGAAACATATTTGATTGCAATTATTTTTTCGTTTTTATGTTATTTTCCCCCCTTTGTCATTCTATGATTCTAGTAATTGCAAAGATTAGCTTCATTTCCTACAAGTGTTGCAATTATACAAGGCGGGTTCCCTTAGATCAGTGATGAAGTTTCAGTCTATTTCTATCTCGCTTGCTTAAGTTCATTTCCTACAAGTGTTGGCTTCTTCCAACACAAAAAATCTTATGAGATAATTTGTGTTTAATTTCGAATTTGTCCTATTGTGTTTTTAACAAAGAGGTGGTGATTGCAAGAACTTGGAATTGCCAAAAAAAGTGTCAACAGTTTTAGTAGTAGCATAAATCCATATGAAAAGTCAAAGATTTATAAACACTAATAAAAAAAATCAAGCTGAAAATCAATTATAAAATAATGCTACAAGTATTAGGGTGTACTAAGGGTATTTTTGGTAGTTTTATAGGGTGTACTTAGTTAATTTTACATTTTAATTAAAATATT